CATTAATATTAATGGTTCCACAATAGTTCTGCAACTGCTGCATTCACTTTGGTGTAGTGGCTAAAACGGTCAAGCAGGACTGGAAAGACCTGGGTTCAATCCCTCTCCACTTGATCACAGGGCTCACTGGGTCACTTTGTGTCTGTCTCTCTTGTGCTAAGGCAGCTAGAGATTTAGTTTCAGCAGCTATTGCAATTAAGCCACAAAGCACACCTCTGTCTCTTGTGGGGAGGCTGCTAATGGGACTGTAAAGCATTTAGAAAGGAGACACCCTGTATCTTCTGGCCATGTTGGGTGCTGGCGAGCGGATTCTGCAGAAGACCCAGCTTCAAAGGCATACATGGAAGACGGGAGGGACTATTTGAAAGCCTGCAGACAGGTTTGCCCGGGGCATCCTAAAACCACATAGTTGCTCAACCCAGCCCCTTGCTCCTTGAGTAACCTAAGCCTCTCTTGCTTTTGGCCAGATATATTGTTCACTAGGGAAGAAAGAGCTTCTGGCTTGAGTTCCAGAAAGCTGCTGTGCTCTCAACTAGCACCATGTACTCTCTTGCCCTTTGCCTTCTGATCCCACTCCTACACCCAGGTAAGTCCTTTGGATTGATAGAGTTTTACAGGTTGGTTTTTGACTAAGGAGGGGGGCATGCCTGGCTCTTCCAGATGCACTGGAGGAGCTTGGATTTCTCTCTTCCCTTTCTAATTACTCCGGTTTGTGAACAAACTCTTGGAAACCTTCCCTCAGAGCTGAAGTGGCTTGATTGGCAACAATGAGTGATGTTAAATGTTTCGCTTTGGTTGTGATTCCCCACTTCCTGCAAATTCTTCAGGCTCTCACATTTCTCTTAATGCACCGAAACAAATCAAGCTGGCTTTGTTTGAGCAGGTGGCAACTTTCATTGAGCAAGCTTGTATTTCTCTCTCTGATGGCATTGGGATGCAGGTTTACGGAGGAAGGGAATAAAAAATGGGTGATGGGTGATGGTGATTCTTCTGAATCAAGCAATGCGGAAGAGAGTTAAGAAGCCGTTGTATGCTAGAAATCTTTTGAAAAAGGCTTATATTAGGAAATCAGCCTGTCTTACAATTGTGGGGGACCAGGTGCCATCCTCTTCCTGGTACTGTGGAGGAGGAAGACTAGAGTATATGAAACAAGAAACAAATCTACATGAAATCAGGCTGTCACATGTCACTCTCTTGCTTCATGGACTTTTCCACTCTCCTACCCCAAGGGCTGATGCACATCACCAGTTGCAGACACAAAGTCATGCTGATCTTTTCCTGCTAGCTGGGGTCATAAGGATCTCAGTTGAAGCAACAGCTTTCTGTCCCAGTTTGGGGAAGACTTCCTTTGCTTTAAGGATCAAAGAGCCATGATCTAGAAGGAAGAGACAGAGTTCATGCTTTCTGTGATAGCAGTAGCAAACTGCTTTTTCTCGTCTTCTGTTCTCCTCGGTAAGGCATGATTCCATCATGGCTACAAAGTGGCTAAAGTTGGCAGAGAGACAGCCCTGGATGAACCATTAAGCAAAATAAGCTCATTTTGGGGGAAGGGGAGCACCACAGAAATTTCCCCCCTAGCTATCACGCCCTTAACTCTTTTACTGCCATACTTGACTTTAGTCAGATTTTTTTGTAGTTGTCCTTATCTGTCATGTTTGACTCTGATCTGCATTGTTAAAAACGTTTTCTTTGCCATGGGGAGTGACTAAAGTTTGAAAGTTTGGTTTGAGGGTGACACTGGATATCACATCTGTTTCTGTCCCATAGCATGAGAGTTTTGCTTCTGTCAAGGGGTACCATTGTTGGGTTGTGCTTAGGGCATCAGTTGGCCTTAATCCACCCCTGGAGACAGACCATTCTGTTCCACACTGCCTTGTACCCAGTATCCTGGAACCTGAGTATAAACATGCCTGCTGTCCCTTCAAATGAAATGACTGTGCTTACATAGACGGTGCGGCCATCAGCAACAGCCCAACCCAGCCCAGCCCAGCCCAGCTGGTATGGGCTGGGGTGTCAGCTGTCTCTTGGGTTGATTGCGTGGCCCTAAGAAAAGTGTACAATAACATTAAAAAAATAGAAAAATAATACAATAATAATACAATAAAATAAAATAAATAGAAGACACCCATAGAGGAAGCTCAAGAGCCAAGTACCGGACCTCAAGTATGAACATGCATGTCATATATGTCATCCCCCCCATACAGAATGACCAGGGATATAGCAGGACCTCCCAGCACAGGGGCTGGTGTGATGACTATTTCTTAAGTTGACTTCACAGTCATAAAAAGAATTTTACAACAACAAGAGAAATAGAAAAAAGATATCCATAGAGCAGTGTTTTTCAAACTTAGCCACTTTGAGAAATGTGGACTTCAACTCCCAGAATTCCCCTGCCAGCATGGGTGCCATTTTGGGGATGCTCAGCTGTGGGCTGATTTTGATGTACAGGTGGAGGGGTGAAGACATGTACTTTGGGCGTAGTGGGTGGAGTGTGCTCACAGCAGGGCAAGGAGTCAGTTTGGATCTGGTCTCTGTTTCCTCCCCAAAGTATCTTTTCTGGTGAAGTTATACTACCAAAGAAAGGTGTGACAACTTGGTCACTGATCTTTTCCTTGACAGAAAAAAGACCCAAGAAAAGGAAAATTATGTTGTCAACACCACAGTAGGACCCACCCTGCCATCTCTATTTTCCCAGAGAATCATGAAATGGCTAGAAGACAAAAAATGAGGCCCAACACGTGTGCCCAGAATCAGGTGGCAAACTGGGCAGAAGGATTTGTTCAACTCTACAACAAACCGAAAAAGGATTTCATGATTCTCTGAAGCCAAGCTGATTTTGTATGGGGTATTTTGTGAATGAGAACCTGTTTTATCGGGCTCTTGGAGGGATCTTTGGCTAGTTAATATACTCAGGGGTGCCCAAAGAGAGTGTGAGTCAAAAACGTCAATATGGCAGGCATGAGCATGCTGACAAAGCCCCACCCCTTTTTTTACATGTGTCACTTTGGGGCTTTGTGCAGTTATGTCTGCCACTTTTTTAATCCCCTTGTGGATGCTTCTAAACCTTCACACACACAAACAGAGATGTGGATATATTGGGAGGAAAAATCCCCCTATAAGTTGTCTAGACCATGAAATACAAAAATATTTTCTTTTTTATGTCGGGTGTATTTTTGTGTCTGAGTCTGTGTGTGACAGAGAGAGAGAGAGAGAATCTCTTCTTTCCTATCCTCACTTTCTCACTAGTGATTTATAGCATCTTCTACTTCAAATTTCATTATGGTGCTGATACGACAGCAACAAGAACAATTTTGTATTGTTTCAGCCACGTCCAGGGGTGCGTCCGGTAGGGAGGCAAAGGGTAAGGGGGACAGACTATTGGAAATAGTACAGTAATACCTTGGGTCACGAATGCTTCTGTTCACAAACAATTGAGTTCGCGAATGCAAAAGTTTGCTTCCATTCGCGAACTCCGCATCGGGTGACGAACACGACCCGCGGCCATCTTCTCTGCTCCGACACGTGGTCGTGGCTTCCTCTAGGTGAGATCGCGGTCGCAGACAGACACTTGCTGTGAA